TATAAATAATGATCCATTGACCGGACTTTTCCTCTAATTTCTCACAACCGCAGCATGTGGAGGAAAATCTTCCAGTTCTCTCAGACTGAGCTGGAAAATAACTGATCGTTGTTCAAACAGCACAGCCTGCCTGATCCGTCCGTTTATGACCGCCATCTTCTGACGGCTCCTTCAGGATAATCACCCAGGTTGAAGGGTCTCAGACGGGCTTCCTGCTGGGATTTTACCGTTTAGACCCTTCTAGATCTGCAGCTACTAGATAAGCTCCAACAGCTACTGGGCTTACCCCATCAGTCAGTGCAGGTCAGCCTAATAAAATGGCCTTTGATTTATTGCTAATTATTGAAGATCTGATGGATCTTCTGGACCAATCAGCACAGCTAAGCTCTGAAGAAGCTGTTACCATGGTGATAAGGACAGGGGGCAGGTGACCCTGAACCCCACCTTGGCATTATTAGACCAGTCTAATATTTAATTTAGAATTCATAAATGATTTACTTCACTGTGAGCTGAAATATGCTTTAAGTTTCTCACAGCAAACATGAATAGAAAGGTTAAAATCAAGTTTAAATCAGTAAAATGACCCAGAGGTTAAAAGAGAGAAAGGTTTGGTTTAATGTTTCACCTGGACCCTCCAACAGGGGGCACTCTCCCTCCTCCCATCCTACCTGCAGCCTGCAGAGCTCCATTCGTCATATAAAAACTAACAGCAGCAAAACACTCCACCTGGCAGGTGAAGCGAGGAGGTGGGGGTCGACCTCCATCTTTTTTTAAACTAAACAGCGACCCAGCAGGTCCGCCTTCCTTTCCAAACAGCCCAGACGCTGAACTCTGCAGCTCAGACTGCAGCTCTGGGAGGCCTGCTGCTCCTCTGCTGTCAATCATTGTGGTTTAAATATCAGGAAAAGATAAAAAATGTCTGAAAATGTCCAGAAAAGCAGAGAATAGAGAGGAGGCGGAAACAGAGCTGTGATTTCTGCTGCGAAGAGGAACCAAAGTGGTTATTTACAAATGGAGAAAATGTCTTGCTTTTAATGTCAGACTGGAAATAGATTTTAATTTACATCAGTGATGGGGGGGGGGCACATTGAAAGAAATGATTGCCCGATCTGAAGGTCAGTGGAAATACTTTAGTTGAAAATACGGAGAAGTAATCAA